TATATATATATATATATATATATATATATATAAGTATATGTACAATAACTTAACAATGTAAAATATAAATCATAAACTTTCAGTCAAGTAACTACTATAAACAATTATCACAAAAGTAGCACCAAGCTACATGCCAATAACATGTTTCCAAAATACATCAACATCCAACATATTTCTATCTTACTCATATGATTATCGCAGTCCAACCACCAAGAAAAACATGCAAGGGCAAATTATATTTCAAAAAAATAAACATATAACAAGTATAAAATGAATACAACTATACTATAAGCACCAACATGTAATTCATGCACCATATCACCTCATAGATTATAACACCACAACAACTCAATCATGGCATTAACAAGTTTGAAAGGCAAACAACTCAAGTATATAAAACTTACACCACAACCATGTCATTCAATAATGTAATCACCCAAGCATGTGAACAACAACAAATCACACCACATCATATGTTTACACCTCAACCAAGTTGTCTTCATGCTTTCACCTACAAAGATCTCTTGCAACAAAATGAAAAGTTTAAGTGTTTTGATCCTACCAAATCAACACGACATTTTTACACTTGTTAAGTCAACAACCAAATGGGATATTAATCCCTACAACATGATTTTTTGAATGTTGTCGCTTAAACTAAAAAAGTCCAATACCCAATCCTCGCGAAACCACACCTAGCAACACAAATCATGCAATAGATTCATTTAATCTATCCATGTTCACAAATTAATTATAAAATCAATGTTATTATAATGCAACCCGTGCCTTGTGTATCCACTTTATGTTTAACGCCATTGAGGTAGGAAACTCCCTACCTTGCCCATACTTGACACTATGCAATTTACACTCAGCATGAATTAGGTAAAGACCCTTGGGCCTCATGCCTGACATGGCTAAGTCCCATGATTGGTCTCAATCTAAGTAGAGATGATTATCTCCCCTCATGCACGACGTCACTCCTTTGGCAGTCGATGTCAATCCAAGTAGAGATAATTATCTCACCTCACACTCGATGCTATTTCAACTCATGACAATTCTCTTATCACATTTGACGCTACCAATCATATGTCTGATGTGAGCAAGACAATAAACCTCTGATTGAAACCACGTCCGACGCCTTGAAGGTGCACCCAATGCGATGGTCAGTTATGCACTTAGCATACTCATGAATTGGGTCTAACCACCTAAAACTTACCAATTCCACACATGCAATGCATCCAATAAGGTATACACATCATTTTCAATCCATTTTCATCGATAAAAGTAACATATGCAACTACCAAATAACTTAATTCACCCAAAATCACCTTATAGGTTTCAAGAACCATCAACTCATACTTTCCTCCTACAATCCAAGGATTCACCAACACAAGATTTTTAATGAAGATCAAACAACAAGATTACACCCCAACAACTCATGTCTATCAAGAAATCAAATCCAACACGCAACCACAATTGTTCAAAATCATCAAGTCATCTCACACATGCTCCTTAAGCAACCAACCCAATTTCACTCATTTTATTCCAAATAAATCAACACAGTTTGGTGAAGATTACAAAACAAACAACATGCCACTACAATTAATTAACCAAATATATTCCAACTTCCCTTAAATCAAATCTATAAAGAACCGAGGAAGAAGAAATGGAAGTCTAGCTTCGAGTAACTATAAGACTTTAAACCAACATTGATCATCAACTTCAACAACTTTAGATCGCAACTTCACCAATCAACAATGATCTTCTATGCCTTTGGGGATTTTATAATAAAGAAAGGAAAAACCAAGATTCTAGAGTCTTTCTTTATAGTTTATCACTTTATGTTTTTTGATAAATGAGTTTACGAGACTTAAGTCTCAAAAGAAATCTTATATACTTTTTTTGGGTCAAATTGGACCTCAGGCCAGAGAAGCCCTTCGAACCTCTTAAACTCAAGAGAATTTCAAAATCCTCAAAGTTTCTCAACATAAAACACCCAAAATATCACAACTCATAATTATTGATGAAAGACAATAATTAACAAAAAGCTTATAGTGTTATAAGTGATTAACTTTCTATTGTTGGAGATTGGAGTAGCCATTAAAATTATGTAATTTTCTTTGTGTCTTTCCTTCAATGGTTAATTCAACAATCCACAATTATATTTAAGTACGTAGCCACTAAAACTATGTATTTTTCTTTGTGTCTTTCCTTCAACAGTTAATTCGACAACCTATAATTATATTTAAACCCTAATTTCTTAGGTGAGAAAATATAGGTTGTTTAAGAATAATCTTAATTCCTTGATAATTTTTGTTAAACAATCATGTATTAAGGTAAAGGGCCAAAAGTCAATTTATATTATCCCAATTTTTTAATAGTAAATATTTCATTTAGATCATAATTTTAAAAAAGTTGAAAATTTTAAAAGAATTTTTCAAGTTTGATTAAAAATTATAAATGACAGTGTCTTCCACGTAAAGAAACTATGGAGATTCTATTACACTGCCAAAGTTCTCCTTCTGGGAATACTTTAGTGGAGAAAGAATAGCATCTAAGGTACTACAAAAAAAATAAAAAATAAAAAATAATATATATATATATATATATATATATAAAATGACTTATGTCACGTAATATTTTTATTACTAAATTACATTTTTAGCTTCTTAATTAATTTAAATTATTTAATCCAGACTTTATTATCAAAATGTTTGATTTAATTTTTTAATTTTCTAAAACAATGTAATATAGATCTTCTCATTCAATTAAAACCAACTGATCAAGTGTGTTAAATTTTTTAATATGTAACGATACATTTTATTAAAAACTTAAAAATAGTTGGTCTTATTTAAAGAAAAAAAAAGTCACATAATAACGCTTTAGAATGTGAAAACATTATAACGTTTTAGAATGTTAAAAATATAAATAAAAAATGTTATAACGAGTTAACACAAATGATTTTAAGTTTGTCTCGAGCTTGCATTTTGAAGGATATAGATTTGACATCCCTTACCACCACTATTTCTTAACTATCATTTTTATGTAAAAAAAAAAATAAATGATTTTATAATTTCATTCTACCAGATGTATCGATTTGAAGTTGATACTTAAACCAAAAATGGAATCTGAATGCTTAAATAAGAAACCATGGAAACGATGTAAAAGTTTGTCATGTTAAAAGAGGTATTGAGGGAAGAGGGGTTAAATTTCAATATTCTTCTGTTCTTCACAGTGGTCCACCTGGAGGTGTGGCAGAACAGAACACCGGAACCTACAACCTTGCACAATATATTAAAACTTAAAAGCATACACTACCTACCTTCTCTTTCCATATTCATTCCAAAGTAACGTTACGTAACCAACTTGGCTTCGTGCACCTCCACTCTTACCGTTCATCGCAACCCACCTACCTACCCTGTCCCAAGCGAAACAATGCCCAAACACAACACCAGAGCCACACTCGCCTTCCTCTTACGCTCCCTCCATCGCCCTACCCTTCTCCCTTCTGCAACGCCGTCTTCTCGTTTCACGTTACATGACAAATGCAACGACGTCGTTCGCCCGGATTATCATCAAGTTCCCTCCTTTTTCAACCCTTTGGGAAATTTCGCCCAAACCACAAAATGGGGTGTTGGAATTCAGCAAAAGTGTTATGGTTCTATGGCTGGGCTTGTTCAAAGGAACCCCAGATTCTCAAAGTTGAATGATGATGATGTTCGATACTTCGAGGGTATATTGGGCGCCAAAAATGTTGTACAAGATGAGGATAAGCTTGTCGCTGCCAACATTGATTGGATGCATAAATACAAAGGCTCCAGTAGGCTTTTGCTACAACCTAAGACCACAGAGCAGGTTCGTTTATTTATTTATTTATTTTTACTTTGTTGAATAGAATGAAGTCGTGAACGATTACCCTTTTGGACTTTGGCCCCTTTTGTGTTTTCTTTTTTTAATTGACTTTTTCGAATGTTTTATTTTGCAGGTTTCTCAGATTCTCAAATATTGTGATTCCAGAAGCTTGGCTGTTGTTCCACAAGGTGGAAACACTGGTCTTGTAGGAGGAAGTGTGCCTGTCTTTGATGAAGTATACCCTTTTATCCATTCACAAGGGTTCAAGTTCAACTTTCAATTTATTAAAAAAAAAAAAACAAACTGGTTATTATGTGATTATTAACAACTTTCTTATAATATGATGTTGCAGGTGATTGTAAGTCTTAGTTCTATGAATAAGATCATATCTTTCGACAAGGTAGACCATTTACTGCTTGAAAGGCTTATTTGTTATAACTTATGAGCTCCCCCTTTCGTCTTGTGTGCTTGTTTTGTCTCTCTGCTTTGTTTGGATTTTATATTAATTGTTTTGAGAACTTAATATATATTTTTGTTGAGCACTGCTGTACAGCATTTGCATCGTGAAAAATAGAATCATTATATCTTTCTTATATTAATTTATTAATAAATTAACACTTTCCTATCTTTCAGCCTTTTGTTCATAAAAATAATCAACATACTGCAGATAGAGCTTGTAGATGAAAAGTTGTTTCTCTCATCCAAGTATATACTATTGTCTAAAAAGAGGGTTGACCAATGACATGTTATATGGACTGCAATATTATGGTGCATCTGGAGAGCTAGGAACAAATGTGTGTTTGAAGGGGAGCACCTTGTTATCGCCTTTTGTGCATATTTGCAACCATGTTCCGGTACCTTTTAGGTAATTTGTTTGCTTGATTTGGTTAAAAAAGCGAAAAAAAGTGTGTCATTTATGGTTTTTAGTGGATGTAACATGGTTCTTTTCAAACGAACTAGCAACCCTGTTCAGCTAAATCGATCACTGAATAGTAGAGGTAGTTGAGCAATACACATTAATTCAAACTTTACTATATATGAATAAGAGTTTTTGCTAAACAAATATATAGCTACTCCCTCGCAAATCACAATTCCTAACGAAAGATATTTTT